CTGAAGGATATAGGAATCTAGCAATGAAGGTGGACCTACCGAAAATCGAGGAAGAATGGATCCAGATGATTTCCTCAAATGAATGCAGACTATTGAGTGAATATTTGAATGCAAGGAGGTGCCCAATGATAAAAATGTGCAGCTTGTCGGCATCAAGCTAAAAAAGAATGTTTCTTCGTGGTGAGAGAACATAAAAATGGAGAGACATAGAGAAGAATGGGATTAAATCACTTTCTTAGAAGAAAATGAAGAAGGCTTCGCAATGACAGTACCTACCCCGCAATATCGCCAAGAGCTATCAGTGGAGGAATATTCTGCATAATTTATGCAATTTAAATTGAAGTGTGAGCTAAAGGACCCAGAGGAGCACACTATAGCCAAGTACTTTAGAGGCCTGAAGCACATCATCAGTAATGTGGTCCAACTGCAAACCTATTGGACATTGAGAATTATGCATGCCTTAGCACTGAAAGTGGAGAGACAGGTGAAGCAAAACAGGCAACCACCGTCAATCAAGAAGCCACCCACTGTGGGAGACCTCAGGAGTGCAACTTAAGAAGTGAGGCACACTGGTCAGAAACAACACAGAGCCATTTCGAGTGAGAAGCATAAGAAGAGTAGAAATTTCACTACAGACCCAGCCAGAAAATACTTCAGAATCCATGATTTTGGACAAATCACCTCCAGTTGCCCGAGAAGAGGACTTGTGTCCCTCACCGAGCAGCGTGCAATGGAGAAATTTAGCAACAATAAGACAACTAAAGAACAAAGTGATGAAAACTATTTGTCACCGAAAGAGGGCAAGATGCTCGTGATTCTATGGGTCCTACTAAGGCTACAAGAAATCAGTAGTAGCTTCACCACAATATATTCTACACTCATTGCACTATGAAAGAAAAGGTATGTAATCTAATCATTGATAAAGGGAGCAGCAAGAATATGTCATCTACATAGATGGTGGACAAGTAGAGACTCACAACTCGGAGACACTCCCAGTCACTCCCAAACGTGGTTGAGTAAGCAGAACAGAGTCAGCATAGATAGGTGTCTCCTGGAGTTTTCGATTGAAAACTAGTTGTAGGATCAAGAATGGTGCAACCTAGTGCCTATGGATTTGTCACATTTTATTGGGGAGGCCGTGTGATACCGGAGTTAACCCAAACCATGATCAAACGATAAAATTTATTACTGACTTCAAAACTATAATGACAAACAACACAAACGGGTAAATAGTAAATAAAGACGAGAACGCCGCAAAACACAAAAAGGAAACGACACAAAATACAAGAATGGCTCTCTAGAGAAGAGTGGTGTGTCGGACGGGAAGGAAGGAAGCTGCAGGCATGTCGAACGGTGGTCCTCGCGACATCTTGCACCTGTCGTTGTAAGTCGCACTCTGTAGGTCTTAATCTATACGCAGACTGATTTGGCGACAAAGATCCTAAGATGAGATATATAGCATGTTGAATGTCCCTCGGTGGTGGTAATACCTCCGGAAGGTTGTCGATCATCACATCCTGAAAGTCATGTAGCAGTGGTGATAGTAAGGCTAATACCTTACTCTCCTCTTCAGCTCCTCTAAGAGGCATCTCATAGCGGCTGCAGGAAGGAGGCCAGTAGAACTAATGCCTCCTCAATATCACACCCACCTCTTACATCCTTAACAATTAATGACACGTCACATTTTCCATCATTTTTAAAGGAAAAAGGTGTTCTTGAAGCCATCGAGCTGAGTCTTGCGATCAAACTGTTACGGCTTATCCAACAAAATATGGCAAGTGTTCATCAAAACTACATCGCGGCATACTTACTCCAGTAATTGATTCATAATCAAGAATTCTACTAGGCACTTCTGATCCACGCGTATCTCATTTCCTTTCTTCAGTTAAGTAACGGAATAAAATCGGAGATGTTTCTGGGTGACCATCCCAATTTCTTCACCAACAATGTGAACACCGCATTTTCACAACTCTTGTTGTCAATAATTAAGCTACAAACCTTGCTCTTTACCATGCACTTGGGAATTTTTGTACAATTTTGAAAAGAATTTCTGTTACTGTTTTGAAATGAATTTCTGCTACTGAAGTGTCAAATATATGGTTGTTATAGTTTTGTTACAAACAGCATCACTAAACAGGGGTGGAATGGTCATTTGTTCATAAACAGTTGTCTTACAGTTGTCTTCAAACAGCTACAACAAACAGCAACTGAGCTTTCCTGCAACAGCTTCCCTGCAGCAGCTTCCCGGGGTAGCTAAGGCTCTGTTTGGCACAGTTGCAACTGCGCTGCCCCAGAAGCTGCAGCGGGGAAGCTGGCTGTCTGTTTGGTGCAGCTGTGTGAAAACAACTGTGGGGCAGTTGTTTCTGAAAAAATGACTATTCTACCTCTGAAACTAACTGACCTTAATTCCTATTTTGCGGTGGGGATATAAGATTGCCTGAGGTGTAGATTCAATTTGTTTAGTATGACTAAAAATCTAGTTGCAAAATTAAGGTTAAAAATATTCTTCTACAATTTGTTTGCTCCCAAAATTCATTTTAGGTTCAATTTCATTTGCCTGGTGTGGTTTTCTTCATAAACTTTAGTTCTTTATTTATTGATCTTATAAGCCAGCACAAAATAAGTAAGATCCATTTAACTATTTTCACCATTCATTTCCAACCAAGGAGAATCTTGAAATTTGATTGAGGGAAGCATAAAAGACAGTCTTTTAGGATATAAGTCGGGCAAGGAATGATTTTTTAGGACTTCAATATATTTTGATACTTGAATATTTAAGATTTGAGTGGAATGCATTGCCAGCAAAATCATGGTCCCCTCTCCTCTCTAGTTAGAAGACAAAATCCAAAGCTAAAGCCCTAAAACCATGGCATGTCGCCTCCCATCGCAACCTCCACTCTGCGCCCCCTTCCAGCTCTCGATGCTACAATCCATCGCAACTCCCTCTTCTGCTTCATCTCCCGCACCCGTCGCTCCCTCTCGAACCAACCCCTCCACATCATCTCTCTATCCGTCGTCGGTAAGCTTCATCGCGAGCTTGGCTTCTCCAGTCCCCGTGGGGTCGCAGGGTCGCGAGGTAGGGGCGTATGAGTAAAAAGCCAAAGATAGAACGCGGGCCGCGGGGTCGCCTGCGGCCCGCTTTTTGGCGAAATTGAGTCGCGTCGCGGATGCCCCGCCACCCCAAAACATCGCATTTTTGCGACCCCACGACACACCACAGATGCCCCGCCGCGCCAAACGAAGTCTAAACTACAGTTGAAAAGTTGAGAAGCTGCAGTTGCCCCAAACAGACTCATAGTGCCCGTTTGGGGCCATAACGAAGGCGCGGCGCAGCGCAGAGGCGCAATTCCGCGTCGTTTGGGGCAACGGCAGCAAGACATCGCGGCGAAATTTATAGCGTTTTAACGGAAACGCGGGCCGCATTTCTTCGCGATGTTTTTACGCCGATGTCCTTCGTGTCTTCTACCCCGAGCTCTTTTAATAGAATTAACAAGAGGATCTTGCATTCATTCGTGACATATTTAGTGCCCTAGTTCCTTCGCGACATCACATGCATGCGATTTTGTAAAGATGAGGATGTTGCGTAGTACTGTGTAGACAAGCGAGAGAACACGAGCATTGATGGTGGCTTTTCTAGCAGTGGATAGATTGACGAAGAGGCGTGCGGATGCCTTGTCGCGAAGGACGATGTGGTTAAGCTCGGGGACGTAGAGCTGGTTAGAGGAGGATCGAGAGGGTATGTGGAAGGAGAAACCGGAGCCGGATAGAATGGATCGGGCGATGTCGAGAGTGGCGTGTTCGATGGAGAGGAGAACGGAAGAGGAATCGCGACCGGAGACCTCACGACAAGAGGTGTACCTCATCTACCTGGTTCTACGCCACAACATACAAATTTCTTTTACTGAATTATAACTATTACAATTACATTTTCTGAATGATAACTAGTACAATGAGCTTATTGTTAATTTTCCTTGATTGGTTGAAAGAAGGAATTGTAGTCATTCCAATGAGCCATTTTTGTAATTAGTATTTCTTTTACCTGATTTTTTTATAAAGAACATGATATTATTGCTTCAGTTAGTTTGTTTTAATGATTTTTTATCTTATAAAGAAAAGTTCACTTATATTTACTTGAAAATGACCAAGATCTAAGGTTAAAAATAATATTATCATTTTATTATTTGTAATTTTAATAGTATTTTTCTTTTTTAGCACTTTTGGTATCAAAATTTAGCACTATTTTGAAATGAATTTCTGCTACTGATGTGTCAAATATATTGTTGGCATAGTTCTGTTACAAACAGCATTACTAAATAGTAGCAGAATGATCATTTGTCCAGAAACAGTTGTCTCACAGCTGTTTTCAGACAGCTGTTACAAACAACCAGTCAGTTTTCACACAGCAGCTTCCTGGGGCAAAGCTGCAGCTGAAAAGCTGAGAAGCTGCAGCTACCCCAAACAGATCCATAGTCTATTTTTCTTCAAGTAATGAATATGTCATGTATCTTGAAGGGAATAGGTATTTGAACCTCTTCCTTGTCTGCAAGTCCTTGTGTGTCAATCGGCTTGCTGTTTCTTAGCCAGATAGCAGCCGAACCACTATGATTTGCTGCCCACCAGCAGATTTCATTGTTTCCTCTTCTACTCCTCATCCGACAACCCTTCTAACCTTCCCACATGAACTAGCTGCCCTAATTCGGTGCAAGTATAGATACAAAATCCAAGAAATAATAGCAACTGCTAAAACAATATAACTTCCATACGACATTAACATTTTGTTTAATGATTAAATTGGTCTACATGAGAAGTAGTTCATATACAATCAATTTCAAAGATGAACAATGATGAACAAAGATGAAGCTTTTAACATTGAAATTCACTATGAATCATTGAAATTCATACTCCTTACAATTCATTCGGTAATATCTAACTGTTAGAAAAGGGAAATAGAGGCAAAAGACAAAGGGAACAAATATGTTATACATGAGTAAAAACCATACCTCTTGTACCATGAAAAATCATTTGGGATACTTGCTTTTGCATTTTTAAGATGGTCAAGTTGTACTAAAACATCAAGCAGCTTTAGTATTGACCTGAAAATTCCCAGAGTAAAAGCAATTTATGGTTTCAAATTTCTTAATGATATATTTTACTCTTATCTAGCACGTGGAAGTTGAAAACAGAAGTCAACAATCGAAAATAAATGAGGAAAAAAGAGGAATATGCTGATGCAACAGAAACTTATTTAGCATAACAAAATGAGAGATCAGTCCACAGTTTGTACATACACTTTATAAAAAATAAATATTTATTTTAAGTTGATCATTCAGCTAAAATTCAAACAAGAAAACTGAGACTTATTGTTTTTTTGTTGCTGCAAAGTCAATCAGATCTTTAAGTATAATCCAAACTCAGGTAAGGAAGGTGAGGATCAATAAGTTCAAAAATTAGAAAAGCATTATCAGCAGCACAGCAAATCCCAAATATTACATTGCCGATACATTACACATAATTCATACAACAAATACAAGCTTTCAGATTACGTTAAACAGAAATTAAAGACTCTATTTGAATAGCGTAGGTGTTAAAATAAAAATGTCTTGGTGAGTCAGGTCAATTAAAGAAAAGATAATGAAAAATATTAAGTAAAGATTAAAACCTCATTTCAAACCCAAAGAGAATGTAAAAAGAGGAAATGTTGTGCAACCAACCAGAAGTAGTTTGGCTAGCAATAAAGAAAATTATCAATAAATATTTGAGATGCCAAAAATGCATGGTAACCTGATCAACAATATTTCCTTCAACAAAAAGAAAAGAGTGGTTGTTGTTAAGGTCGGAGAAGGGGGAATGGGAAGGGTTGCCAACTATCTATTAGTAAAGACCATGGCAACTACTGTCAAGTTTCTGAGATTGAATCATCAGAACTGTCCTTCGTCACTAGAGCTTATACACACACACATACACAGTGTGTGAGAGAGAGAGAGTTTAAAATTATGTCAAACTTCAATAGCGAAATTCCAATCAATCGAAATGCATTGAGGGCTCCACTGACGCAGATGTCTAGCGCTCATGCAGCAATTGCTGAGACACCTTTGCCCCGGACTGGTTTGGTACAGCCAGAGGAGGGACCGGCTGGTCTTTCCAGGAATAAATTTCACTCTTATTTGGAGTGGGGTCCACTCCTATTTATTTAAGTTATATACGTAAATTGTTTTCATATTTTAAGTCAGCTTTTTTGTGCATTTTTGTTGGGACAATTGTTGACGTCTCCTGTTGTCCCTTGTAGGGCTATATTCAAAGATAAGTGATGTTCCAGTTAGATCTCATTCCGAGGTAGTGATTATCCTCGACTTTCCCTTCCTTCATAAACTCCTCGCCGCTGTCATCGTCGACTTCCCTGCTGCAGCCGCCCATAAACAACATTCCTTTGTTGCGTTCAAGCAGCCACCGATCTGCCCACTCACGCCTCCGAGCCAACCGCTTACTTCCTTGATATTTCAGCAGTCCCAACCACGCCTCCCAAGCCCACTTAGTAACCCAGTGCTATTCCAACAGGCCCAATCACTCCGCCGACCCAGCTAATTAGTTCTTTGTTGTCCCTAACCTTTCCAGCCACCACTCCCATCCCCCTCCCGTTGTTTTGCCACAATTTTCCCTGTGGTCCAGCCCTTTCCTTAATATACCTCCACCTTCCCCAATCCCTAACATTCACTATCCCCATCTTTTTAGTCACCTTAGTCGTGTGTTGTGTGTCGTGTATTTTATTATTTCCCATTTCAATGTGTTAGTTATAACCTTTTATTTACTTTTCAGTAAAAATATATACTTTTTTATTATTGTTACAGTTAACACCGGTATCATTTAGTATCAAAGGAAGCATAACCCTAGTGCTATCCTAGGGTTATCTAAAGCCGCCTACCTAACCCAAATCTTTTTTTTCTCACTTGCTTCACACCTATATACAATATCCCACCTACCCACACCTAAATCCTAATCATGACATCGAGGAGATAAGTTTCGATGGCCAATCAAGAGTTAACCATGGAAGATATACAGCAATTTTGTGAGTGCTACAACAGCTAAATGAAAATAAGGAAAGGGCCCATGAAGATGTCACTGTCAATCGAGATAGCAAGATCAGAGTATTAGAGCGAGAATAACATATGAATCCTTTTCATATGAATGAATTCAATGAGAAAGAGAATCAACCATGATGCTTCAGAATTTAAGATCAGAGAATCAACAATGGGTGTTTAAGGCTTTAGATTAGGCAAGAGAAATTAACTCCTAGACAATTAAATTCAAACTTTAGAAAACTTAACTTAGAAATTTTAAATTTTTGTTAGAAATTGTTTGGGATATTTGGAGAGAATGTTGAAGCACGAATAGGAGTGGAGTTTTCTAGATACCATGTACAATATTAAATAACTTTTTTCTTATAATTGTCATATAGATTAGGTTAAGCTTAAAATCATAGGCTTATTCATAAATCAAATATGTTAAAAACAAAATTTAGGAAGTTACCAAATCAAAAGTCAAAAAATTTATTTGGTTGAATTGTATTACATTATTTTATATACTAAAAAAAGTTGATGAGAAAGTTAATATTAAGAAAGATGAATTAATTAATTACTTATATAGAGCAACAAATAACAATTTAAGTAGATAAACTACAAGCGAATGTGTCTAATTTGTTTAGGCTAGAATTATATGAAACAATAACAAGAGGCATTTATCCTACCAAGTGGGGTCGACGAAATATAGAATGAGCTAATGAAATCTAATATGTTACTATAAGTACATCAAAAAAGTAAAAACCGACTGTACTGATTAGGTTGGTAAATATATTTCAATTTTACAATAATTATTTTTATTTATGAAATCAATTATAAACATTTTTACTATTTTTATTATTTTATTTTAAAATATAAATGTTATATTTTTCATATGTTGAAACTAGCTAAAGCAAATATTAACTAAAGGAAAAAAATAATGTAAGATATATATATATATATATATATATATATATATATATATATATTTATTGTAAGAGGTTCTAAG